CCAAAATGACGTTAAAAGCTTTCCCCATGGCGGTCAGTCCGGTACCAATGTTCAATTGGTACCCGGAATGGGTGGCATCTCTCGTTAAATGAGTAGAAGAGAGAATGGCTTTCACTTCGGGGTTTATCTTCGGAGGGTGTAAAGAGGCACAGTTAGAAGGCACAATGTGTTTTTCTCTAATGATGGTGGTGTCCTCGGTGGAAAGTCCGTTGGCCAAAATGTGGGACCATCGAGAAGCTAAGGCACCGTGTAGTTGGAAGTTAGACCTATTGGCTTTTTTAGGGTCTACACCCAGGATATTTAATATGTCTTCCGATAATGGGAGACACTCACCTTCACTAAGCATCAAAACATCCTCCATATCATTTTTCTCAGTTGGTACCGTTCCCAAGTCCGGCCCTGTCAGAATCTGAGCTTCCGCCTCGCACGGAGAACGGCCAGCCGAGTCTACCTGACGCTGTACCTTATCAGATGGGCTGCCTGAGTTTTTCTCTTGACGCAAATATTCCCGTCTCTCTCTACGTCGCCTCGACACGCTCGGTGATCGACTGCGACTGTTTCTACTCCTAGAACGTGACCTTGAACGCCTACGGCTGATGCGAGAGCGGGAGCGTCTAAAATGATGAGGTGAATTGGTACGAGACATGGATCTGCTGTGTCGACTCTTTCGGGATAAACTTCTCGAATTAGTGCGAGAACGATAACCACCTGACCTTGCCTCGAGCTCCTCCTGTAAAATGGCCCGAATCATGTCTCTCAAGGAGCTGGGTGAATTGGCCTCCGAAATTCCTGATTTTTCCATGGTTTCTGTTAAACAAGTATAACCATTGGTTAACGTATTCAATCTGGTTGAATACGCCAATCAATTATGTAACAGACTGCTAAGTGGTATCAAAAAGAATAGCCTTGTTGTGAACTTACCTACCTACTCACTGAGCACTATGTACCGAAAAGAGAAATCGCACGCGTTTTCTGAACTGAAGCAGGCCGGGCGACTGCACGGATCGCGCACCAAAAAGCGAATGATTCAACGCGAGTGGCCAGGGCGCGGCGAGGAGGTGGGGATTCTCGTCTTTCAACTTGGTGCGCGGATCGTACTCCAGGGGCGGACTACATAGTGAACAAACAAAGTGATGTCTTCGGACTGGACCCAAAGTATAATAATAATAATAATAATAAATGGCCTTTATTCGTCACACGATTACAAAATAATTGGTTTAAAAGGAACAGTGACGAAAAGGTGGAGTGTCAGCTTATGCTGTTTTTCAACCCGACCTGGAAAACATTGACACAAACTATAGAGAGAGAGAAAAAAAACTTTGAATATAACACTTATCAGAGAAAGGAAACAATCAATTACCTGTGGATATGCATAAAGTAAAATTTTAGCCATCCGACTGCTTTAAACTCATCTTTAACCTTTTTTTAAAATTGCTTAGGCTATATTCTTTATACTCACTTGATAAGCAGTTATATAGTTTGGGTGCCCAGTACGAGAAACTGCGTGTGAACAATGCTGTCGAATGCCGCGGAATAAGTAAGATGAGTTTATTCCTAGAGGATCTTTGATCGTACTGGCAGAGGAGGCTTAGTTTTGTTTAAAGATAATATGGCGCTTTAAGGATAAGGGTCTTATGTACCAGAGATAGGCAATGCAGTTTCCTCAATTTGTTCATCTTAAACCATCCCGATTGGTCAAAAGCGCTACTAATATGATCAAATTTACGGATTCCATAAGAAAATCTGATGCATGAGTTTTGTATCTGAATCCGCTCGGCATCACGTTGTAAAAGAGCAGGTCCATAAACAGAGTCACCGTAAGATAATTTTGACAGGATAAGGGACTCGCAGAGTTTAAGCTTGAGCTGTGTCGACAGGACACTTCGACTCGGGTATAACTGACGAAGCACATTATAGGACGCATTGCATAGTTGGTTAACATGTTTAGTGAAGCGTCTTCATTATTCATCATAATATTAATGCGATATTGATTTATTTCACGATTCTTTTTGGGCCCAAATAAAATGCAGCATGATTTGCCAGGATTTAGTTTTAGATTGTGAGCACTAGATATGTCAAAAATAGACTGCAGGTCTTGATTTATTTGATGTTGGCCAAGCATATATTCATCAGGATCGAAGCAGTTATAAAGTTGGGTATCATCGGCGTAATGATGAACGATTGAGTTGCTGGCGGTTTCATGAAAATCACATATATAAAGAGCAAATAAAAGGGCACTCAAAATAGATCCCTGAGGGACACCAAAATTTCTGAATAAAGAAGTTGATATATTGTTTTCATATATGATAGACTGTGAGCGATCAGTTAAAAGGCTCTTAATCAGCGTGCAAGCCGATGATGACAGGCCAAAGTATCTAAGCTTTTTACAGAGAATATTTGGGTCAACCGTATCGAAGGCCTTGCTAAAATCAAGAAGAACTAAGCAGGACAGCTTTCCTTGATCAGCCGCGCTATAAATATTATCCGATATAGACAGGAGCGCAGTGGTGGTGCTATGTAATGGTCTGAAGCTAGATTGGGAGGTGGTCAGTAAATTATTTTGACAAACAAATGTGTGCAGCTGCTCATGTAGAGCCATTTCCAAAAGCTTAGATAAACTTGGTAAAATGCTTATAGGACGAAGATCACAAAAACTTGAAGGATAATTAGATTTAGGCAGAGGGAGAACAAGAGCATTCTTCCAGGAAGAGGGATAAAGATTATTTGTTATACAAAAGTTAATAATGAAGGTAATATACTTGAGCAAATGCTTATGTATTATACGGATCATATCAATTGTGATGCCATCTGAGCCTTTAGCATGACTTTTGATGCGATTGATAAATTTCTCTACAGTGGCAGGGGAAACTGTCGTGAACAGAAAAGTACCACTATTCTTGACGTTTTCATATTTGTCTAAAAGGTTCAATTGAGTTAATGATTTGGTTGTTTGAGGTACGTTTAAAAAAGCACTATTTAATGAATCGAGATCCTGAAGATGTGGAGGTAGACTTATGGAGTTATGTTTAACGATATTCAAAGATCTAAGTATATTCCATGTAGTCTTCGAATTTTTATGTCTCATAACATAATCGAGGTAGGCTTTTTTCTCTCGCCTAATAGCACTAGAAACATAATTTCTGAGTTTCTTATAGAATTCCCAGGCAGCAATCGTTCCTGTACGTTTAAATTTTTTATATGCGTCACTTTTTGTTCGCATCATGAGGTTTATGTTGAATGTTCGCCAAGGAGCTGGTGGCTTGGTAACTCGAATGTTTCTGACAGGAGCATGCAAGTTGAAGGTGCACAAGATATTAGAGCTCAGGAAGTCAATCATTTGATCCACATCTCTCAACGTATATATAAAATCCCAGTTTATTAAAAGTAAATCATGGTAGAAATTGTCTAGGCTAAAGGTAGAGTAATCACGATATGTCCTCAGTTTACATAGGTTGCTTATCTCCGATGCATCTACATAAAATATTAGGGCTAGATGGTCAGATGTTCCATCTACATCAACAATTTCATAACCACTTATTATATCAGCAGAGCTAACCATGAGCAAGTCTATAGCTGTCTGGCTATTGGAAGTTATACGTGTGGGCTCTTTCACTAACTGAGACAGATCAAAAGACTCAAGAAAACAGTTCAGCATCTCGGACCGGCCGTCGTTCACTAAAACATTAATATTAAAATCGCCCATGACAATTGCGTAATCATTATCGAGTGAAAGGTTGGTTAAAGACTCAGTTAATTGATGTAAACAGTCAAGCACGTTTGCCGATGGTGGACGGTAGACTATAGCTAGACAATATTTGCGTTGATTAACCTTTACAGAGATCCAAAGTTCTTCCAATACTGCGGTGATATTAGATTGCAATATTTTGAAGGCAATACCATTTCTCACATAAAACGCGACGCCCCCGCCTCTGCTATTTCGATCTGCTCTAACGACATTGAAGTAGTTGATAATTACTGAGGAGGAATCAATATCTGGGGTTAGCCAAGTCTCACTGAGACCCAGGACATCGACAGCACAGTCAACAACATATTGTTGTTATCCTTTTTTTGTTCTGTTATTTCTTGCTTATACATTCCGTACATCTTAACCAAATTAAGTTCTGAGTGGAGGTATTGCCGTGACGATTTTTCCCTGCAATAGTGTGATTCCACTTTGGGAAATCTTAAAATATGCGCCCTCATATCAGAATTGATTGGCTGATCTCTTTCTTGTAAACACCTTCTACTTCCTCCTCTCTTTTCGTTTTCAACGGTACCATATACTGAAAGCTTAGATAAGGAAGTCCTCATGTTTTCGGAGATTGCCAGAGTGTTTAGAGAAAAATTCTTACATACAGGTAGGAGAACGCCATTTAAAGTAAGAAAATAAGGGTATGTAAGTTGCCTTCTGGATCCTCCCTTTTTTACCTTGGATTCCTCCTTAACTACATGGCGGCAGATAAATTCTCTTTGCAGTTCTAATTTTCCCAATGAGTAAAACTCTTTCATTATAATTTCTCTTTGGTTTTCAGTAAAGTTGACACATTTTTTGTTGTGAAGTGTACAGTACCTGCTATTACATCTTTCACCGACTTGTTTAGGGGGTACTAAGTTCATCGACTTTGGTATGATGTAGGCCTACCCAGAATACCTCTTTTGTTTCGTCGCTCTACACGAATCCTTCTTCAAATGTCTTTCTTCTGATTCTTTGTTTGACTCATCAACTAAATAGCCTTCAGGTTTTCTTTTAACATATAAGTAACTTCCACTGGTTAAAACTCGGGGCGCAACATCTTGACAAACATGTTGTAAATGTAAATTTTCTATACTTTCGAAGTTATGGGACAGGCAATCCAGCGGATCTTACATAAAGTGATCATAGCACAAAAGTGCACTACACTTATGACAACTGCTGAATATCTCGTCTGAACAATTGGTATTTTCACATTCTCTAGAATTTTTACCCTTCCTTTTTTTTGTGACAGTCTTATTATTCGTGCTATTTTACGGTTTTGACAAATCAAAAGGGGGTCATCTGACAGATAATCTGAGTCGTCGCGCGACCTTATAACATTACTATCATTGCTATGGTAAATTTATAATCCTGGAATCATAAGTATTTTAAATATAGTTTAAGGAAATAGACAGCAAAAATCCTTGCCTTTGTTTTTCCAATTCGCAGCTCCTTTCTCAGTTTCTTCACTTCTTTCAACAAGTGTTTCGCTCTTTTTCAAAAGTCGTGCTAGCGGAATATCAGAATCTGAATTTGTATCTGAAGATACAGTTTGCTCAGTAGCATCGGCATTGAAATCAGGTCTGCTGTATCTAGAAGTTAACATTTCATTTTTAATCCTAGAACCACAACGTGGCGTCGTGGATGACCGGTTTAAAATATTTCAGTTGTTTGCGCCCGGACTAATTGCAGCCGAAGATCATGCGTCTCAGTATCTTCCTTATTTGATGTACGGAGCATGTGGAGGAGTGTAGAAGTTTTCTATCGTGACTGAAAACGTTGATATCGAGTGTACGGTCGTCTGCGACGCCACGTTGCTGTTAACGTTACGATAATTATTAGCTCTAGGGTCGCATACGACGCCACGTTGTTATTAACGTTAAGATAAATATTTTCTTATGGTATGTGTTTTCATTCAGTTTTTAGGGCAATATATTAAAATGTTATATTTTAGATAGAGTCTAATTGGCTGACAGAACGCATCCGTTAAGCCAGGCTGAACTGGAAAGTCTGGTAAATGAGATCTGCAATGAAACGGATGAAGTAATAGTATCAGACAGTGAAGAGAGTGAGATCGAAGATCATGAAGAAACTGATGTTATGGAAACTGATGAATTTGATGCCGACCAACCGAGCTCAAGTAATGATAAGGATGTACCTCGAATAAACGAAGGTGGAAAATCAGTGGATCACGAAGCGAATGATGTTATTGAAACTGATGATTTTGGTGTTGACCGACCGGGCTCAAGTCATGATATGGATGTGCCTTGGACATAAATGGTATTTACAAAGTTTTTATTCAAAAAACACAAGGACTAGTCAGAAAAATATAGTTCTTCATATGCCTGGTCCACAGCGGCATTTGCAAAATATCACGGATGTCAAGAAAATTTGGGATTCATTTTTTACTGAAGAAATTTTGAAAATTATTGTGGAACATACAAACGAACAAATTGAAATTAATAAGAGCCGCTTCAAAACTGAACAACGCTACATTGGTCCTACTAGCATTACTGAAATTCAGGCATTACTGGAACTCTTATATTTATCAGGGGTTTTTAGAGCGACAATGTCTAAAAACAGATTCGAATTTTTGATAAATTGTCTAAGATTTGATAACAACTCGGGAACAAAGAAGAGCAAACGATAAATTTGCGGCAATTCGGCAAATTTGGGATATATTTGAAGGATGTTGTAGAGAGAACTATATTCCTTCGGAATATGTTACAATAGATGAAACACTATTAGGATTTAGAGGTAGATGTCCCTTTAAAATGTATATACCAAGTAAGCCTGACAAGTATGGCTTAAAAATTGTAACGATGTGAGATGCTAAAACGTTTTATATGTGTTCAGCTAAACCCTATATAGAAAAAGAAAATAGAGATAGTCCATATTCTATTCCTACACAATATGTCTTAAATTTAACTGAAAACATACAAGGCACAAACCGCAACTGTACCATGGATAATTGGTTTTGTTCTTATGAAGTAGCGAAAGTTTTGCTTGAAAAAAACTGACAGTTCTCGGATCATTACGCAAGAATAAGAAAGGAATCCCAAAGCAGCTATTGGAAACTAAGGGAAAAAATGTAAATTCGTCCATGTTTGTGTTTGATGAAAAAACTACAATGGTTTCATATATACCGAAAAAAAATAAAACAGTAATTTTGCTGTCAACGATGCACACGCAAGGCGACGTAGAGGAGCAAACTAAGAAGCCACAAATGATTCTTGCATACAACAGTACCAAGGGAGGTGTAGATACATTTGATCAGCTATGCCATAATTCGACAGTATCTAGAAAAACACGGAGATGGCCTCTTAGAATTTTCTATGGAATGGTTGATATTGCAGGCGTCAACTCTTTTGTTATATTTAGATGGAATCTTTCTGTTCAAAACGAAACGTCGGTGAAACGCTCAAATTTTCTGAAAAATCTAGCATTTACTCTAGTACAACCATATCTAAAAGAGAGAATGTATAATGTTTATCTACCAAGAGAACTAAAAAGTACCATAAGGAATATTTTAAAATGCGATGAGCAAGAAGTCAAGCCCAGCACGGCTCCCAACGTTGAAGTCACTGGTCGTTGCGATTTTTGCCCTCGAAAGAAAAACCGAAAATCTCGAAGCATTTGTGAGCAATGTAATGTAAAAACACTAGACTCAAGGAATCGCTTTTATATTTAAAAAAAGAAATTGCGTATAATATAAAGCCGAGAAACCAAAAGTAAACAACCACTGGACCGCTTCTATGCAGATTTTCGACTGTCCCTCGATAAGCGAACTTGGACCCGTCCGCCTTGGATATTGCGACGGTCAACTGTTTTTTGGATGGCCCAAGACTTCTATAGTATAGGTAGTAGGTAGTAGGTACCCTTTTATTATTACAGTGTAGTAGGTAGTAGGTACCCTTTGATTATTACAGTCGGCCAACCTGCAGATTTTCACGCCCTCGTGAAAGGCTTATCTAGAACAAATAAAAACAAAAATCTTCAATCTACTGCTCTAAGATTAAGTTATAATTCATTCACTGCAAGAGTCATCCTCCTCAGAAGAAACTCTAGTAATGAATAACTTCATACGTTCCGAAGGGCATATTCCGGTGTATGCCGTCCTAGAACGCTTGGAACCAGGCAGTTCTTCAACCACGTAACGGTCATTATCAAGAACTTTCGTAACTACAAAAGGACCCTTATATTTTGGTTCCAACTTTCGACTTTGTCCGTCATTTGATCCTTTTGCTTTCCTAACCAACACGTGTTGTCCGACCTCAAACGTTTTTGAGGGAGCATGCTTTTTATCATAATACATTTCCTGATAGCGCTGCCTAACCGCCATCGTTTCTGAGGCTTCATTTCGTAACTGATTTAAATCACGTAACTGATTTGCATCAGTATGCTCGTCTATGCATACTTCCGCCGTCAAGAAAGCATCCGTAACACTTCTTGGCCGGTAACCAAAAAATAGTTCGTAGGGACTTTTTCCAGTAGTAGTGTTTATGGTGGAGTTCATTCCCCATTTAACTTTACTAATGGATTCATCCCATAGTGTTTCGTCAACCACGGAAGACATGAGAGCAGAAAGGACGGTTCGATTCATTCTTTCCACCTGTCCATTTGCCCGTGGTGTGGAGGTTGCACATAAAACTTGCTTGATTCCTAACTCAAGACAAAAATCTTTAAACGCTTTACTTGTAAAAGCTGTGCCACGATCGCAGATTATTCTACGACATACTCCAAACATGTCGAATATGTCCTTGAGAAATTTTATAACAGGAGCGGTTTTTGTATTTGGTACTGCCTTAAGAAATGATAATTTAGTAAAACCATCAACAGCCATCAGCAAATGGGTATTCTTTTTGGTGCTTTTAACGAATGGACCTAAATGGTCTATGTGTAGAGTATCCATAGGCACAGGTATCTTCTCAATAGGATTTAATCTTCCTGGTATTTTACCTCCTGCAGCTTTATTATAAAGACATCCCAGACAGGACTTAATATAATTTTTAACATATTGCCGCATTGATGAGAACCAGTAACGTGACTTTATGGACTCCAGTGTCTTATCGACTGAAAAATGTCCGGCGTCATCATGATAATACAGCAAAATTCTTCGACGCGCTGTTTTTGGAATGACCCAACGATTACCTTGTTGAGTTTTACGATAAAGATGGTTATTTTTAAGACAAAATTCTTTATGTATCTGTCTTTCTTCACCATTACTAGCATCTCTTGATAAAACATCAATCAAGTTCTTACATTTTTCATCCTGGAGTTGCGCAGAAAGTATCCAGTCACTCTCTTCAATATTTACAATTTGAATATTAAGTAAATCTTGAACATCTTTCACTGGATTTCTGCTTAAAGCATCCACGTGACTCATTTTTGTACCAACTCTGTATTCGATATTAAAGTCAAAATCTTGGATGGTAAGCCACCATCTTGCGATCCGGGGTACAAGATCTCTTTTTAACAATGTGTGTCGTAAAGAGTTACAATCTGTAACTACTTTAAAATTTACTCCTATTAGGTAAATTCGAAATTTTCTCAAGGCTTCTACCAGAGCTAAGGTTTCAAGTTCATACGAATGATATTTTTGTTCTTCGGTTGTTGTAGCTCTGCTAAAATATTGTACTGGTTTAAGAGTGCCATCATTTTGCTCTTGTAAAAGTATTCCTCCTAAACCTACTTTGCTTGCATCACAATGTACCTCAATTCTAGCTTTACGATCGTATATTGCTAACACAGGTCTTTCAACAAGTTTCTTTTTAAGTATTTCAAATGCTTCATTATGCTCTGTTCCCCATGTAAATGTTGAATCTTTTCGGGTAAGGCTAGATATTGGTTTGGCAATGCGAGCAAAGTCTTTGATAAATTTTCTAAAATAACTTGTCAATCCTAAAAATTGCCTAACTTCGTGGACAGTTTTAGGAATAGGAAATTCAGCTACAGCCCTAAGTTTTCCTGATCCTGGTTTAATTCCTTCGCTAGAAATCTCATGTCCTAGGTATTCAATTTGACATTGCAGAAAATGACATTTACTTAATCGTAGAGTCATTTTTGCTTCTCTGAGGAGTTTTAAGACATTTTCTAGTCTCGTCAAGCCTTCTTCAATTGAAATAGATGGAACTAAAATGTCATCGATATAAGCCATTGCATTTTCATGGCGTAGTGGACCTAATATTTTATTTACGGCCCTCTGGAATACCGCAGGAGCATTAACCAAACCAAATGGCATCCTCAGGTATTCATAGTGTCCGTCTGGCGTCACGAATGCGGTTTTAGGAACAGATTCTTTTTCTACTGGAATTTGATGGTAACCAGAGGCTAAATCTAATGTTGTAAAAAATGTTGCCCCTGACAAATTATCCAAAAGATCATCAATCCTAGGTAACGGATACTTATCTTTAATTGTTTTTTTGTTAATAGCCCTATAATCTATGCACATTCGCTCCTCCCCATTTTTCTTTTTAACAAGGAGAATGGGACTGGCATAGGGTGAATCTGATTCCTGTATTATCTCATTTGCCAAAAGGTCCCGCACTATATCTCGGACTGTTTCTCGATTTGTATAAGGCATCCTATAAGGTCGATAAGTGATGGGTTGGTCATCATTCAGCTTTATTTCCAGCTCAGCTACATCAGTCTTACCGACTTCGTTAAGACTTAAGGCAAAGCAGTCTCGATATTTGTTAATTAATTGAAGCAAATTAGCTCGATCTACCTCATTTAACTGTGGGTTTATTAAACCTTTCACATCGTCTAATGTAATAGGGGTAAGATGAGTAGTGCTTGTTTGTAAACACATCAAGGATTCTGATGGTTCAACATTTTCGTAACATGTCCAACCTCTCGTAATAACCCTATTCTTTTCGTAACAGACAGGTTTCTTCGATAGATTCATAACAGGCACGCAGCAAAAACTATTTTCTAAATTTAGAATACAAGGTAAAATTACATGACAATTGTCTGACCAATCCCTAGTCTGCAAGTTTACGAAAACATCCCTCACGCTTTCGTCTTGCTTAATAACAATATGACCCATGTAATTAGGTGGTATGACTGTTGTTTCAGCTGACACAAGCTCTACCTTTTTTGGACAAAAACTCGTCCAATGTCCCTATTTTTATCAAATTTTGGTCGTAGAGTCGAATTTGATTGCCTCTAACAACCACAGTAACACTTTCATTATTGACAAAAGGTTGTCCAACTATAACCGGTACTTCCTGTACTTGGTCAGGGACTATCAACGCATCTACGTGAGCAGATGCTTGATCTACAGTTAGGTAAATTTTTGTTTTCCAGTTGGCAACGACGGACCCCCCAGCGTACCCACACAAACGGACAGATGCTGGTGTAAGTGGTAACTTGAGATTTTTCGCGTTTGTCTCTCTAATTGTTACCGCGGCGCATCCTGAGTCTACATAACCTCTAAGGGGCTCGTTATTAATAATGCAATCAATAAAATAGCAAGTGCTTACCGGTTGATTAGAAGATAAACTTAGAATAGGATGAAGCTTACCTTTAGTTTGCAAGCCTGCGTGTTTCCCTTGACCTGTTCGGCACTGATCAGCCTCATGCCCTAATAAATTGCATTTGCTGCAAACTTTTCGGCTTTTTGGACAGCTTGCTTGGTAGTGTCCCTTTTGTTTACAATTGTAGCACATAACATCTTCTCTGTGGTATGGTTTATATTTTTTGAAATAGCATTGCGCAAGTCTGGTTTGTTATGCCTCTTCGTAATCGTTTCCGGTTTATTACTGTGCAACTGATGTGAACTCTCATCACGCAACATAGATAGGTATTGCTCAAAAAGTGTTTCGGGTATTTCGTAACGACCCGCACGGGCTGCATTCTGAATATTTATGTCAGTAATCCCATTTATCAAACAGGAAACAGCGTTTTTGCCTACTATTTGGCATGTTCTTATTAATTCCATTTTACTAAAGTAATATGCAGTCATAGACTCGTTATGCGATTTTGTTTTTTCCAGCATTTTCCGTAAGGCCTTCGCATAATCAATGTGGTCTGGAAATGTTTTTATGATTAGTTCTTTCCATTCTAACCATGTGTAGTTTAAAGAATTTAAGCTGTGATACCAAGTTCTTCCCATGCCAGCTAACCGTGATTGCATATGGTAAATTGTCGTGACGTCATCCCATCTATTAATATTTTTCAATTGGTCTATTTTTTCTAGCCACTTTGCTGCCGACAGGTTCTCATTTTCAGGGCAAAATTCTGGAATACAGTCACTTCTTAGTGTTAGTTTAGGACTTTCAGATGAATTCTGTTTTGTCAAATTTTCAACTTGCTGTTCCAAGCGTTTTATTCGATCTTCATACGCTGATTTTTCTGATTGTTGTAGTCCTACTGAGTTGTCAATAGTATCATTCGATCCTATTCGGGTACTCTGTAAGTTCGACGTGCCTAACTGTCGAAAAATCGGGGTGTAAGGATCACTATTTCTGATCTCTTCGCTGGTGACAGTAGCTGCACTATTCGGCACATGCACTAAAATATCAGATGGATATCCCGAACAGTCTCTTGGCATGCTAGTGGTTCTATGTACTGTGCTACGCACCATTTGTCGTTTTTCTGCGCTATTTTTAGATGGTAATTGCGCCGATTTTGACCGCTTGTTATGTCGAGTATCAGTTCTGGAGCGTTCAGAAGTTGACTTATCATAACGACCCTTTCTATTTGTTTTTGATGATGAGCTACTTGAAGCAGAACTACTACTGCTACTGCTAGTAGAACTACTTCGGCTACGCTTATGTTTGCCCATCTTGGGACAATTGAAATGTCTGTTTATATATAGGTTTTTCCTAACAACCCAAAACAAAAACGATAACTGTCTATCTATATATAGGTTTTTCGTAACAACCTATTCAATAAATCTAATAAAATTTACCATTAATAATAATGGCAGTTCGATAAACAGTCATAAAAAGTACCTTGTCAGCGGTTATCCAAAACACAGGCACCTGTTGGTTCACTAGAGCCACAAATTGCGTTTTAACACTAATGTTTATGATGTGTATATAGAAAAAAAAACACAATAACGACAATGAAAGTTCGTTAAAGACTTTTCGTAACAGCTTTAACTTTCCTAATTAAATCACTAATTGTCTCTATCAAAAGTTTCGAGGCACTACGTAGGCAGGTAGGTATCTTTACCCCGCACCTGAATCTGTAAAAACACTAGACTCAAGGAATCGCTTTTATATTTAAAAAAAGAAATTGCGTATAATATAAAGCCGAGAAACCAAAAGTAAACAACCACTGGACCGCTTCTATGCAGATTTTCGACTGTCCCTCGATAAGCGAACTTGGACCCGTCCGCCTTGGATATTGCGACGGTCAACTGTTTTTTGGATGGCCCAAGACTTCTATAGTATAGGTAGTAGGTAGTAGGTACCCTTTTATTATTACAGTGTAGTAGGTAGTAGGTACCCTTTGATTATTACAGTAAAAAACAAATTTGTGCGGAACATCGCCTGACCCGTATTTTTTGCCCTAACTGTAAAGAAATATCTTAGACTAATTTATGTACCCATTATATATCGTTACTTTTATTTTTTAATAATCATGTGTTTTTGTTAAATAACTGATATTACACTATGTATTTGTTCTTAATTTGACAATAAACTAAATTTATCAATTATGTATTTAGTTATTATTCCCTAAATTTGTAGAACAAAAAGCTATATACATTTTTTATTACAGTGTCGCATTTGACGCCACGTTGTTATTTACGTATTGAAAGAAAACGTTGTGGTTCTAGGGTTAAAATAATTTCTAGGTGTACTGAAATGTTTTAAAAACTCACCGTTTGTTATTTTTTTTCTTTTTCTTCTCTACTACATGTGGTTGATTTTCCGTTTCAATACCATCTACTTGTCATAGATCAATAATTGTACCATAGTACCATCTCTTTGAGTAGTACATCTTAACACCAACATCTTTTTTGAATGCCTTTTTTTACTGCCAACAACTCATTTGATGCAACTACATTTCTTTTTCCGTTTCTCCACTCCACTAGCACATCCATTTTTTTCAATTAATGTGGGAACTATTAATCAAATAATCCATACAAATCACATCATGTAAGAAATAACCGGCACGCAATTTAAGGTTAAAAATGAGTAACTAAACATCACAAACAGGCGTATATCAGTATACGCCTTGCGAGTCTCGACAAGACTGTAGAAATTCTTTTGCTCAAATAGGCGTTTATCATATACGCCTGTTTGAAGTGCGGCGATAGATGCTTTTCACTTATACGCCAAAATTATTTTTCAATGCATCTTCTGGACTATTTATCGTGCATATACGCCACTTTGTGTGGTAATAGTATACCTTTTATGAGTGCATAAACGCCAATAAAACACATTTTGACATTTCTTATGATATACGCCCCTTTGTAAAAAAAGGGACGCACTGCTTGGATTTTGATGAAATTTTTACTCAGGGTTACTGGAACATCGGTGGCTCAGAAAAATGAAAAGTGAAAAAAAATAAAAATCGCTCAAACGTGGTTTTTGACGTTTTAGAGAATCCTGGTCACTTTTGAAAAGATCCAAAAATTTAGTGATGGGGAATTGTAGGGAGAGGGGAGGATATATCTTTACTTTTTGATGTTAGTATATTTGTATGATAACAATTCCGGTAATTGAAACGTAGAATCTCAGTGAAAGTTTTCGATACGCGTGTCCCTCTGCTATCTGGGCTCAGAGCCCGGCACAACGGTCTACTTGATTCTTCCGCTACTGCGGTAACTACCTTTATAGCTGGGAAAGAATGTCTACAACATGATAAATCACTGTAATAGTGCTACTCGCACTGCAGTAAACAAAAATAACATAATGACACGTAGATCAATAGATTATATCATAACGAACTTCAGACCCAGGCAATTGACATGTACAATCTTTGAACCCCACATTTCAGACCACACTGCACAACTTCTTTCGCTTTCTCATGCATCCCACGACAACCTCGAAAATCAAGACATCCACTTGCTCATGACAAGGCCTATAAATGACGATAATTTAAATCATCTTAAAGTTAGCTTAGCTCAGGAAAACCGGAATATTGGCGAGGACGATATCGATGCAGAATTTGAACGGTTTCTCAACAATTTTTTGTGGCATTTTGATTTGAAATGTCCCCTGAGGCATAAAACATGACACAAAAAGCAGAAATCTAAACCGTGGGTGACGCCAAAAATCCAGCAGTCCAGCCTAGATCTAAGAAAACTACACAATTTGGTGAAAAGGCATGAAGACAATGTAAGTATGAGACAGCAGTACATTGAAAACAAGAAAGAACACAAGAAATTAATTTCTCCAACAAAAAAAGAGTATTAAAGTAGTCTAATAAAATCCAGCAACAACAAAGCTAAAAAAATATGGGAAATAGTCAATGAAGAAACCGGAAGAGTAAAGAAACATCATCAAATAGTGCTGAAAAATGAAGACAAAGAATTTACTGACACCCTCGTACCCGACAAGTTTGGCAAGTATTTTTCCACAATAGCAGAGTGAAAGTTAGCAGAACACTTTAAATGTGACAACCCATCAAGATGTCCATCACAAAATCGGGTAGCATCATCAATGTTCTACGAGGATGTCACCACTGAAGAGATCGTGGAAGGAATCAGCAGCCTTCCAAATAAAAGAAGCAGTGGAAATGATGGAATTTCAACGCGTGTGATAAAGTTTGTGAAACGTGAAATATCTTCCCCCCTATCAGTCCTTATTAATAAATCAGTGAAGCAAGGTAATTTCCCGAAATGCTTGAAACTAGCTATTGTTATTCCCGTATACAAAAAGGGTGACCGTACAGACCTTGAAAACAAACAGACCAATATCACTTTTATCGATGATCTCTAAAGTCATTGAAAAATGTCTGTATAAACGTATATTATGTTTTCTCAATCACTATAATGTCTTATCAGATACCCAGCATGAGTTTAGACCCTCACGATCTATAGAAACGGCAACCTTTGACTTTTTTTCCCATATATATAGAGAAGTAGACGAAAACAGATACGTTGCTGGACTATTTTTTGACCTTTCGAAAGCATTCGATATAATGGATATTTCGTGTATCGTGGAAAAATTGTACTGCTTAGGTATAAGGGATTTTATTCTCAGCTGGATCCAGTCTTTCCTCACAGATAGAAAATTGAAAACGAAGGTCAATGGTCATACGTCAACTCAATATTCCGTGAATATAGGTGCGGCACAAGGCTCAGTACTTGCACCACTGCTCTTCATTGTATACATAAATGACTTGAAATTATCTGGCTTCATGATTAATTATGCGGATGACACATCTATCGTCGTCAGTGCCACGACACCGCAGGATCTTCTCGAATCTATTGAGAAAGTCAAAAGTGAAAGTGGTGCCAGTCTAACCGCCTCATTTTGAATGAAGATAAGACTGTTGAAATTCATTTCTTGAACAAGAAACCACGCATGGATATTGATAGCTTTTCAGATCAAACTGTCTTCTTAGGAACCCATGTTGATAGTAAGTTAAGCTGGCAACCACAAGTAAATCACATTTGTAACAAAATTAACAGTGCTTATTTTGCAATATTGAAATTAAAGCCTAACATCCATCTAAACTCACTCTTAGATATGTACTACGCGCTAGTTTATTCTCACCTCACTAACAATACGTATAATCATATGGGGACAGGCAACAATGATTAACAGATTATTCATCCTGCAGAAAAGAGTAGTTCGATTAATTTTTAATATTAATAAGAGGGACTCTTGTAAAGAAATATTTAGACGCTATAATCTGCTTACATTAACTTCCATCTATATCTACAAATGTGCCATCTTCGCATTTGAACATAGCAATAGATTTGTTCGTAACAACGCCATCAATAGTCAATACAACACTAGAATAGGGCATGATCTGAGTATACCGACACATAACTCTGCCCTATTCCAAAAATCTCCCACTCTAGCGTGCACTAAGGTATACAATAATCTGCCGAGTGAGTTGCGGAGAAGCACTAATATCCTTGCGCTAAAAAAACATCTCAGGAAATATCTGGTTGAAAAATGCTATTACTCTCTACATGAGTTTTACTAACACATGAAAGTATCTGTTTTTAAATTCTTTTAAGCAGTTAATCATTTCGTTATCAGTGAATTGTCTATTATCGTGGAGTAAATGTATTTTAATTTCACTTTTTATTCGAGTTTTAACGAAAGTATGTATTTCTTTTTAAGCTTTTAACCATTTGTCCTCACTGCTCGTTGTTTATTGTATTTATATATTATGTATTTCTAAAATTCTCCTACCGCTTTTCTTTTCTTTGTATCAGCTTCAATGATTTGTACCGGCTTTACGAACATTTTTTGTGATAAAAAAAGTCGCTGTATATGATGTATATATTTTTACCGTTATAGATTGCACACATTACGATTCTTGCACCTACCTATAATGTGATTTAACCTTTTAAAATGTTTTGTAATTGTAATGTCCTTATTTATTTTATAATTATAAGTATTTTTCTGGCATATTTGCTCAAACGCATATATGACCCTCAAATTGATACTGACAAGTCTTATATCATGTAACATGATCTAATAGGACAATAAACTATCTATCTATCTATCTATCTATCTATAGACTAACTGTACGCCTGTTTGACTGACTTGATCCGTTTAATTTCCCTATTGTACATGTTCTCAGAGAGTTTCTTTTGTGCTGAACTTAATCCTTTGTGAACTAATGACGGCGTTGCGTAGGAAGTGCAGAGTCAACCTACTTGACGCCATTTTTATTTTATTAAAGAAAATGGTAGGTCTTAGCTACTGGGTGAAAGGCGACCATGCCACTTATAGTCCGATTTTGTGGTTGCTAGGCATGTTGTATGTGACTGTGTGGTGAGCGATTGGGAAGAAATTTTATCTCCGACATTCTCATTGAATTAGTTTTGTACAACGCTTTTGAGGAGTTTGTGTGACTTTATCCAAATTCGTAAAACCACTACTGGACAACCAACAATCTTGATAAATTGAATGAACTAAAATGTCGCAGGTTTTTCTTCGTATCCAAGATTAATTAGTGGAAGAAGTTGCCCCAGCTTCAGCAAACGCACGCGATATCCATCAATGGGCGTTAAAATAGTGGAACAGGAAAGAGCTTTTAGCGGCATCATTACTTAGAAAACTATTAGGAAGTCTCTGTGGGGATGCAGGCAGAGTCGACAAAAAACTCTGTTGGTAATCTTATCGAGGCAGTCTTGCGAGCGATCTGTTTGGTAGAAGCCAAAGCCGGATCCGTGCAAGACGGAGCACTATACTGAATGACAAAAAAAGGTAAACACCTACATATGTTCCGATTTCAATAATTTTTGGCGTATATGTTCAGTGTCCTTTACTAGCATGATTATTAAATGTTCAGCTTGATTCGTCATTTGACTGCAGAAGCTGTTTCAATAATATGTTGAGGTTCCACGATTACTTATACGCCTCACAGTGTGTTCCTTTATAGGGATCAGGGACAAAATTCGATATCTTAAAAACTAGTGGTCCTATTTGAATTCTGTAAACGCAGGGCGATTACTTATTTAAGTAGCTTTCTAAAGTATGACAAAAATTATTTAAAATAATAAGAAGGGGTGGGGGAGCAGGCGGGATGCATTTCGCATAAATCGTTTTTTTTTTTTTTGTAAAAGTCAAAATATTAAGTTGATCATCTCGAATAAATTGGGATAAGGTAGGATATTATTATAGCATTCTTAAGAGAGACAAAAAAGTCACGCTTTTATTTTTCAAGATCTTTACCGAATGATTTAAAAGATAATGTAGCCAACTTGTGGCGGGCGCAATACGATTTATTAAATTTGTCTATCTATTTGAAAAAATAATAAGAATAATTCAAATAAAAAATAAATCTGTATAACTTGAAATTGATATTTAGGTTTTTATTTAAAAAAATATATTTAACAAAATAACAATTACTTAGTAGGTAATGTATGAAATAATAATATAAACTATATTAAAAAAATAACACCAAATATACCCATTCTAATCGGAATAGGATTTCTTGTTCGGTGCTGTGTCATTCGTTAGTGTACCTAAGTCAATACCTAAATCATCATATTCTTGCTTTTTTAAATAGTTCTGAACTGCCTCGTTGCATTTCTTATATTTTTTTGAGCTCACCTTTCTTTTTGAGGATATAAAAGGACCAGAAGTAAGTAAAAGAACACGCATGAGATCCTTATTCGTATCTGTTCTTGAACATTTTCTGGTGTGAGATAATCGATGTTTCCTAACCTCTTTATGGCGAGCCTCAAGCGCATCCTCCGACAGTTCTCCAATGGGCAAACAAAATGCATCAATTATCTCACACCCATGAACAAGGACCTTATGTACCGTGTTTGGCATGTTGTACCACTTAAAGGTGGATATACAAATTTCTTGCTTCTTCCAGCAATGACGCAAACTTTTCCATATCAATAGCGCAACCACTAGCTAACACTCCTAAGATGATCGCAAATTTCTCGATTAATTCCCTGTCAACCCCTGTGATATCTGAACTTGTTTGTGGATTGTGGAAAAAAATTCTGGCCGTATTGCCATCATTTGAGGAGCCACATCCGGGTTTTGGTTTGTCAACTATTAGAGACAGCTTGGCTCTGAACTCTGCTTGGATTCGTTTTTTGTTTGCTTCGACTATAGCTTTGTTTTCAGGCCCACGAACCTGCCAAGATTTAATTGGCAGGCGATATCCAATATGGAGTAAGCAGAAACAGAAATTCGTCGGTGTTTTCTAAATCAGAAAATTTCTGCTTATATTGGCTATGCCCAGAACTGCCATCAAATCCCCACTTGCATATCACTTTGATCCGGCAATCTCTCTCTTCAAAATTTATTATTTCAAGGATACTTTCTGTAGAAGTTCTTGCGAATCAACTTCTGCAGAAATTTCAGTAATAATAAATTGTGAAGGGAGGATAGCATTTTTTGTTTTCTGTAATTCTTTTATAACTAGGAAGGCAGTTCTGGGCCTTACCATTAATAACAAACCTAAGTAGCAAATACATTCTGACGGATATATCCAAATCTACCATAAGGGCTAAAGCTTCAGCTGTACTAAAACTAAAAATTTGTGGCAAGACCTCACTGTGATTGCTTCCAGAAACGACATTTACAGCAAATTGAAGATCGTTTGCAGATCTGTCTGTGGTTAGTCCGGCTACACATATTCGTTTTGTTTTCTTCGATGCCTCTTCAAATGGCACCCGTGGCCGTCCAACTGAGCGACAAGGAGGTTCTTGTTCCTCATCCGAAGATGTGTTTTCTTCAGAATCATTATTTATTCTATATATAATCTTGTCTAACCAATATACCTGATTTTGTAAAAGTCGATTCCGAGATTGTCCTACTTTCTGCCATTTATTTGCCATTTTCAACCCAAACAACTGGCTGCATTTCATAATATTACTTTTAAGATGTTTGGAAGGTTCATCTGTTATATCAATAAGAGATAATATCTTTTCATAAACCACCTGTTTTCTATTTCCTCTCGGTGCTTCTATCCACACATCAATCAAATCTCTATTTCTGACAATAGCACCATGTCCTAAAAAAATTATATCTCCCTTAGACGTGCATGACGTGATTTAAACTTTTTATCAAAACTTACTATGGACAGATAAACAATAAATAAAAAAATTTCTAGGGTGATGGGAGGTGATTTTTGTAAAACTCTAAACAAAGTCAAAAGTTTAAAAAAAATTAAAAAAATCGGTAATACTCACTTTAACTTAAAAAAATTTTCTAATTATAATTATATTTTAAATAAATCTATACATCAATATAATGTAGTTACCAGCCTCATTACCAGCCATATTGGAAAAGTTAAAATATTTAAATATTTCGACACAAAATTTATATCTTTAGCGAGCAATAAAACAGAGAGATTTTACGCCTTCTTGACAGGTCTCGACATGTCTAACTTTAAAGTTGCTAAAATAGGTAAATCGCAGCCAACTTGATTAAAGTACTATACTTACGTGTTGCAGTGACTATTTATCTATCCAATGGTATAATAAAAGCAACAGAATTCTAATGTCAAAAATTATGTTTTTGAGTAATTTTGTCCATTGGGCGCCACACTGTGCGCCTGGGCAGGGAAGGGTGTTGCAAATTGAAGAGGCTGTGACCTATCATGTCTCAGACATGTTCAATTGGAGATAGGACAGGCGATCGTGGTGGTCAGGCTGAAGGGTTGATCCATGAGGGCTAACGATGCTCTGGCAAAATGCTATCTTGCTGAAAAATCGGGTATGGAATAGGATGAGGCTGCACTATTTCCTGAATATAGCGTCGGGATATCATATTACCTCTGATTTAAATTAGTGGTGATATGTTATCATAAGCAATAGCAGGCCATACCATAACTCCCACGATATGGTGTACCTGACGCTCTCTGTCAAATTGTGGGTCACGTCTTCTCACCCTTGCCCGACTATCGTGCATCCTCAGAAATAAGCAGGATTCGGTCACTAAAGACCACCTAATTCCATTCTCGGTTACGTCGATGTTCAGCTGTGAGAGGGAGCACCCAATGTGGGCGATAATAAAAAAGGCTAAACTGTCGTATTCGGCGATATATCGTACACATACCAACCATCCTTATATTCTCTTCAAATCACTGATTAGCGATGGCTCGAGTACTGCTGAATCTGTCTCTCAGAGCCAGAAGTCTCAACCGGCGGTCTTGTCGCAGTGTGGCCCCTCTGGGACCTCCAGAATCTCTCGCTCGCTATCCTCGGCCTTCCTGAGTTCACGCTTGTTCACACTGCAGTACACATATACTGCGTAGGGATCTGTTGGACCTTCTAGAAACTTCTCTTATCGATGAACCGGCGTTACGCATCTCGACAATTCGACCCTTCTCAAAGTCACTTAGGTGGGACACCTGGCGAATTCTAGGCACTCTAGGCATTTTGAGCAATCACAAAAAGGTTTCTCAATAAGCTATACGAAATTTAACATTTAACTGATACCGTAAATGTACAAAACTGAATGCTTCTTTATCACCAAACAATACACGGAGCCACCAGAAAAACCTGGCCATTCTATCACTTGTATAAAAAGCTAACAATTTAAAAAAACATCTTGGATATATGAAATGCGGAATGAAATTCGATCCCGGCGTAGGTCTAGTGTGTAGTGTAGGTCACAAATCCGATGCTGGTATCCTGTTGATTAGCGGGATGTGTCTGTTGTCATATTCTCTTATCCCAAATGGAATTTCGTAAAATTTTAGATTATTTGAATTTTTTGCATGGCGAAACTTTAAAACAGTTCCAGGTCATACCATGAACTGAATCCCAGAATAATCTTGCGTATGTGTATTGTGTGAGAAAAATCGATTCTTGGCTAAATCGGGTACGTAGATCAAGTCAGTTTTATACTGGAAAAGGCGACTTACATCCTCTTTCTGAAAGACGATTGTGACTGAATTTTGTCTTCAAATTACCACAGGTGCATTCGCTCTCAGAAGCGCTGCTTAAGCATATAGCCATTACCCCCTCAAAACATCCTGGGCACAAGTCTTGCGACGACCACTGTGCTCCCTCACCCTAGACAGATTCCTAAGTCCTCCACTGGGTGCTACCGCTCCGGCCACATTGTCCTCCTACAATCACGAGCACCATCTGCTGAGGTAACGGGGGGGTGGAAAGGAAACGATTGTGTGCTGGTTTTAGACGGTGGTCGGCGCTACTTTAAAAGAGGAAAGGATGACTGCGGGTGCCTACCGAGGTAACTTTTTATAATAACAGAGTCGGATTTCGATTGCGATCTAGCCTGTAAATCGTTTCCTATTTTGGTTCATTTAGTATTGTTCTACCCTTGTTACTGTTTGTCGATATTGTGTTGTTGAATTGTTGTGTTGTACTCTTGTTGGTGTGATTGTTCTTGAGTGAATTTTTTATCAAGGTTGATAATGGACAATAAAAGGTCATATGGGACAATTTTAATTACGAATTCAGTGTGTTTAATTCATGATGATGACAACAATAGTGTGGAGCACTATAATCGCAAAATACATTGGGGTAAGCGAATAAATTATTGCAAGAAGAGGTCATACCATGGAAGATGTGCTGCAGCTGTAGTGAGCCACAATACCTAGCGGCCTGTCTATGTGGTCCAAATACATTTGCGTTATAAGCTTAGTCCAACCTCGCTTATCACTAAGATCGAACAAAGACTCAAACGCAAGAATCTTGGAAAGAAACTCAGACCAAAAAAAGTTGATATAAAAATAACTAACAATTCCAAAGAAAATATATAATAGTTTTATGGCGAATTCTGTCAAAAACCTGACATGAACGGCATTGATTTGGAGGTTGCTAAGCAAGACTTTTTAGGGAAAAAGTGACGGCAAGGCCATATACGTAATGCATTTCCGCCATTTCTGCATTTGTATAATTCACCATTATTAACAAGACGGTAAAAATTAAATAATGAAAAAAACATCACAGCTGACAGATTTGAATAGCAGACTTGTCAGATGTCAAAAGCCAGTGACATATTCCAGAGCAACTAGATATTTATTGCTATTTTGCATAGACAATAGAACGGTTTTTATGTTTTTACTCAAAAATGGCGCATCGGAGGAAAACAATTTAAGTGAGATCATTTGTTTCAAATTGAACGGGGAATCCAAAAAGAATTTTCATTTGGCAAAAAACTATTGGCGTACCATGTTTTTCTTGAAAAATATCGAAGTCAATACCCGTACGCACGCCACTGTTAAAGCAAAAAATTATTTTTGCATTGAAAAAAATGTAACTTTATTAACTTTCACTACGTACTGAATATCAATGAAATATCTGAAGCGGTTAATATTAATTTCCATTTTTCGTCACCCCGAGTTTTTGTAAGGAAACGTTTTTGGATCATAGTTTATAAAGCAAACTAACATTAATTTTGCATGTAGATTCACACCCTTAAATATTCGCATATCATTAAGGAACACCTTGTATATGCTGAGTTTTGATTTATAAGCGAATTGACTGAATGCTGGTCGATATCATTCCAAGAGGTGAGTACCCATTTACTGCACGAAATCTTATTTCAAAATAAATTCCCAAGGTCGTGCTATCCCCTTGTAAGAGGAAAGTATTGAACATCAGTGGTTCCTCAGGCTGCCAGTAAATAAACAAATTCTCCGGTTGTCGTCTGGTAACCCCAGGGGCTCTATTTTGACCTTCTAGAACCTGCTTAAGAGCAACTTTATCACTTTACTCTATAGGGAAGCAGTTTATTCAGATGACAACGTCCGTGACGCGACAGGAAAATGAACTTGTCAGAGGAGATTGCATATTCTGGATGAATATTTCAACGGCAGCTTTGAACGTCGAAGGATTTAAGCGCAGCTTCGACGCCAGAAGGCGGGCGAACGTGGTATTTTCCCTATTCGGCGAGGTTTTATCAATGGCGGCCATCAAACATTTAAATCAATCAATCTCGCGGGAATTCCAATCAGATGTCACTGCAAGTTGCTGCCGTGCGAGTGCGGGCTTTCCCAGGAATTCTATATTGATTTCGTTATCGTAGAGAAGCGGGACTCGTTTGAATAATCTCGATACATATGCATGTGGTGAGAATTTCTAGCTTGCAATTTCAGAGTACGTTGCAGCAAATCGTCAAGTAGATTGAGTTGCGGCGCACTATAACTCTTCAGGAATTGAGGATGGAATTACCTAAATTGCAGTTTTGTGGTGGCGGTAGCCGTATTGGATTAAGCATGGCGTTACTACTACTCATTGTGTTTATCTTATCAAGCCTTTTCATTTGATACCCATCAAGGGCCGACTTAGGATTTCTTCTAGGGGGGCGCAAACGATATGTGGGTCTGGTATTCTTTCAAACTCATTGGAACTTCTAGAATTTATCCTATTACTGCTCCTTAAATCCACTGTATTCCATCTGGTCAATGCCAGCTCAAAAAAAAAACATAGAAAATGCTCAGAGATTCTCGGAAAGGCAATATGTTATTATAGAGGACAAAATAAGTACGTGGCATTTATACTAAGTGACATATAAATCCCAGTTTAAATGGTTTTATTTTAATAAAAGTTGGTGAATGTATTTACCTTACTGTAAATAACAAGTGAAAAAATTTTCAGCCTTATCAGTTGGTCATTCCGGTTCTTATACTGATTTTTTTTAATTTACTAACGATCTAAAAATGAATATTTCAGCCGCAGTAAAGTATCAACGTTGGCGGATTTTGGTTCTTGTAATCCTTTACGATCGGTTACGATGCCTAGAGTACGGAGACCTGTACGACTTCGTCAACTTAGTGAGTTTGATAGGGGCCGTATAGTGGGACTTCGGGAAGCTGGACTTTCTTTTCGGGCAATTGCAGTTAGAGTGCAAAGAAGTGTAGACACTGTGGAGAGGTGTTGTCAGGCATGGCTTCGAGAAGGCCGTACGCAAAGAGCAAGGGGCACTGGACGCCGCCGTAGAACAACAGACCGTGAAGATCGCCGCCTAAGATTATTGGCCTTAAGGGACCGTTTCTCCACTACCAGGTCCATTGAAAATGAATGGTTTGCAGAACACGGAAGACCTATTGGCATGCGAAGTGTTTACCGACGAATGAGAAGTTTTGGCTTGTTTTCATACCGGCCACACTGGGTCCTCCCTTTAACTCGAGAACACCGACGTAATCGCCTTGAGTGGTGCAGACAACGGTCACTCTGGGATCAGGAATGGAACAGTATTGTCTTTAGTGACGAGTCTCGATTTTGTTTAGGCATGCACGATGGTCGTGCCAGGGTTAGAAGGCGACGTGGTGAAAGGAGGAATCCACAGTTTTTTGTTGAAAGACATGTTCATCACACTGTTGGAGTTATGGTTTGGGGTGC